GCCAAAGTGTCCTGGCAAATTTCATAATTAGCGTTGCATGGTCTTCGGCGGCAACTGTATAAACAAAGTGAAGGGGGCAGGGTTTGCGTAAAAAGTATTAGGGAGGGGAGGGGGGGTAAGAAGATGAAACAACAGCCCACCGAATTCGTCATTAGCATTGAAGAAGGCCTCTCCCAGGTCTCCAGAGCCCTCTTCTTCTTCGCCCTCATCGCCAAACGCCAGGTCGCCCTCATCCAACTTCTTATTTTTGGTCTCCTCGCGTACAATGGCCGGATCGGCCGCTGCCAGAGCTACATCCACTGACACAGCAGCAACATCTTCGGCGGTGGCAAGCGAGGCATCGTCCGCGGAGGTAGTCGTTGTGAATTGGTGGCCTGGGCTGTTGAGGAAGTCTGGTGCCAGAGCCACAGAATTGAGCTGAAATATTAAAGGACCACACATGAAAGACCAAGTTGCGCTTTAAGCGCTTCAGGCGCGAAGGCGGACACAAAAGATGTAGAGCATAAGAATAAGATTCAGCAATAGTGCCTGACAAGCGAGAGCATAATGCAGAAGAACTCGAAGGTCTCAGGGGGCCATCAGCAGGCTGTACTAAGGACTTTGCAAGGAGATCGAAGGGGTAGAGAGGATGCGCGGAGGGCGAAGACAAAATGACCGGCGACTACAAGCTGCGAGGGCGCCTTTGGCCATGACAAGTCACGTTTCTGACGAGGTGCCTGCTGAAAATGCAGACACGTCTACCGCGTCTGTCTAGTAGATGACCCATTCACCCCCAAGAGTAGTGATTGGATCAGGCATGATCGAGTGCCTGTCGGTCTGATACAAGATCATGCCGACCTGGGTGTGCGGTGTATTATCGATTTAAAATCTATAAAACCACTCCAAAAATAATAAAGCTAGCGTGGTAGTTACAACATCAATATATACTACTAAAGTGTGTCCGTTGGCAGCAAGAGCATATTTCGCAGTGCTTGACGGGCTTCAACCCAAATATACGCTTACAATTTCGGCCTATGTCTATAGACCTTAAATATACTGACGTATACCGCGAACAGAAATTAATTTCTCAGGAAATTAAAAAGCTGAGCGTTCTTGGCATCAAGGGGAAAATTTTGGACTGGATCAGGTCAT